GCTTCGGCCGGGTGCTCTCCCGTTTCTGACACCGGTAATCCGTAATATGGGCCCGGTGTTGACATCTGAAACCCAACGCGGTCGTTCATTTGAGGTTTAAGCCTAATGTATTAATGCGTTAGCTAAATACGACTTTTTGTTTAAAAAAAGTCTCACAGAGTTGCTTTTTAAAAAAGTATGCACTAAACTGGAAGAATAAAGCTGAAGGAAAGCGGGTCCAGTATTTTAGACAGGCCTCACCTGGACTTTAAGTCAACTGCAGTTAAACTACTGCACGATCTTTGGGTTTTAGTTCTTTTTTCTACTTTCCTAGACAAATTATGGTAAAAACTACTTTGGGAATGTTGTTCCTTTACACATAGGAAAGCTCTTGGATAGTTTAGTGTCCAAATCTATAGTTGGACTCTAGGTTTTGCTTAAAATTGTGTTTGCAAAAGTTGATGAATATTTGTGGGTGTACATATTCTGTTTGTTTTGAATCTAAATGCGATTTGCTCAGGTATGTAACTCAGAGATTGCAATCTGAAACTTTAAGGCCATTAGTTTAAAAACAAATAAACACCACCCCACCTCCCCCGACTTTGAACAGTCAAAGTCTTAATAGAAACGAGTAACAAATAGCTATGTTTTAAAGAATAAATCAGATACTGAAATTTCTCATTAAAACTGTCTAAATTGCTGTGTTACATTTATTTGGTAATATCTGTGTGATGGGATACATTAATCATGAAAATGCTTCCTTGTCCTCTTTTCCGCAAAAAGCTGACTGACCATGTGTTTTGGTTAGAAAAAGACTAATGATTAATAGTGTGGTTTAATAGTACACCTTTTTGCTAATTGGCTAGACGATCAGGAAGAGGAGGTTGCATTCACGGTCCGAGCTGTCATTTTGCAAATACTTCGTGCTCAAGCAGACTTTGTGTCTTTCCGCTAGGAACAGGCGTGTTCCCCCGCCCCGGCACGCGGTGCAGCACGTGGGGCGGCGGCAGAGGAGATTCTCTTTCGTGTTTCTGACGATGTGATGGCAGCAAAACTCCACTTGGCACCAGCTGAACCAGTCAGAGTAGTTTTCTGTCAGAGTGGCTGCTTGCCTGCAAGGGAGTTTGCTAGTGAAATGATCCCACCAGAAAATAATTTTGCGACAGGAGCAAAATTTTAAGCCAGGTATTAGGCGGGAGGTTCCGCCTTTTGCGTATGAGCCAGCCTGCTGACTTCTGTGAGGCTGGTGTCCGAGTGAATACGTACAGTGTTAGCCCCTTGGCTTGGAGGGGTTCCAGGAAAGCTCAGGAATCAAGATAACAGGACGGGGCGGCAGATGTGCTTCAGCATAGCAGTAGTCACGTGTCAGTGCTGTGGGTTGGAAGGAGATGTGAAATCGTTCCTCTATACTCGATGATCTTAAAGGTCTTTTCCAACCTAAATGATTCTATGATTCTATTCATGGTTTGAACGAGAGATAACTGGGGGGGGGAGGGCATGCGTAGGAGTTGAAATAAATGGCTCAAGTTGTCTATAAAGCAAATGTTGATTGTAGTACAAGAAACAGTGAGACTGCGGACAGTGCTATGATACCTGATATATTGTAACCTGGAATATGATAGCTAACTTTGGGCTCCGTTATCTATATGAATTAGAAAACAAATGAAAGGTTGAGGGCAACAGTAAGTATATTGCCAAGTGAGGGGAGAAATATTATGCGATCTTAAGCATCCAGGCAACTCAAAATTAGGTTTATATGTGTAAAACAGTAATAATAATGAGTACTATGAAAATGCACAGTTAAAATCCAAAGAACTTTAACTTGCAACGGCATCGTGTAATAACCATTTGCTTTAAGTATATGGTATATATTCTGTTTCAATTAAACAGATTTTTCATGCACAGTTCTTTCCAAAGTAATATCTGCAATGTTGTTAGGTATTTAACATAATTTGAAAATATATGTTATCAAACTTAAGTAATTTAAACAATAGGATTTCTTAGGCCTAGTTTGTCTCTACACCAATTCCTTAAGCTGGTTTTACACTGGTGTCAGTCTTCAAATCAGCCAAAGCTTATGGGCAAATCAGTCAATTCACTTTTTCTTTTGTTGTTCACTGATTTATAAAACGAGAATTTAAAAATCAAGAGAGAATAAAGTTTAAGTTTTGAGTTTCAGTCAAGGTGCCCTTTCATACTTCCCCCAGCATTATAAATGAAAGCAATAAGCGATAACCTAGCTCTGAGTGTTCTTGACACATTGGCTGCTCTCTCATACGATTAACTCTTCAGAAGTCTCTGCAAGATGGGCAATTAGGTAATTACTTCCAAAATGATAGATGCTACATATGAGTCTTCTTACTTCTTGGGGATTCTGCCCATAACCTGTATAATCATACACTTCGATAAACTTTTGATTAATAACTTTAAAAACAAAAGTTATACATAAATAGCACATAGGATTTCAGTAAGTTTTAACTAAGGGAATTTGGATGACTAGTTGTTCTGGGGCTCTTTGTAATTTGTAATACTTCTTAAGAAAATGAGAGACGAAAAAATATTGATGCTGATTTTCTTGTTTCTGTATTTCCTTGTGATCCACCTGTTGTTTTCTGCCTTATTCTCTCTGGAGGTATAGGCTCTGTTTTATTCGTTTAGTGACTCCTGGTTTAGAATTTCTAGGCACAAAAGGATCAAAAATCAGAAGTACATGTGGTTCTCTTTACATGTAGTTTCACAGAAAGCTTGTTCTCTGAGTAATTCTTATCAATTTGTCACAACACATTTTGTGTACAGAGCAGGGTTGTGACTTGAAAGTACAAACTGTTTTTGCCTTTAACTAGAGAGCTTTGGACTATGCCTCTGACAACTCTGGGATAAGTAGAAAGTATATAAATACAGTGAAATAGAGATTTTGAAGGAAATAGCATTTCCTCTATAACTTTTTTGTTTTTAATTATAGGAATTAATAGTATTGTTTATGTGTAAACGCAGTAAGATGAAACACCAATAGGATTACAGCGATCCTCGTGTTTCAAGACTGAGTTCAGACCAGGAAGAAGCTTATCCCATAAAATAGTAATGATCTCCAGTGAGATCTGCCTAGCCATGTTTTCTTACAAAATTCCCCCTAAAAATATTGCTATCTGTTCCTATACTATATTAAAAAGAAAAGCATGTCAGTTAAATGGATCTGAGTAGGGGGAGCTTATGTTCTAAATATAATATTTATCCTGATCATTTTTTTTTTGTGGGGAAAAAAGTGGCTTGGAGGGGTGAAAATTGAGGCTTTGATTGTGCATTAAGAAAAGTCTCTGAAAATGTTATCAGATCAGTCGATACATCCATGTATCCACTCCTCTTCTGTGAAACGGAGATAATGTTAATATCCATTTTCATGATCTGCTGTGGGTTCAGCTCGTTAACTGATTGTGGAGTTCTTTTTGTAAATCCTGTAGCTATTCGACTACTAAAAAGAAGTCTTGCAAAGCATACTGAAAAGGTTTGGTATAAAATGAGAACTTACCAAATGTAATGGTGAAGTAAAACAATGTTTTAAAACAATCTTAAAATATTTTAGAAGGTAATGGGTATCATAGGAATATTTTGAATACCCATAGATATCCAACATAGATACTAATGGGTGCTTTTTGTGGAAAAACTGCACGGGCCAGGTTTGGTTTACCTTTTCCTCTCATTCAAATTATGAAATAAAATTTATGCAAAACCCATTTTATATTGGTTTTAATAATTACCCCAATTTGAATGACCTTTGATCTTTATTATGTGTTTTTTAATTTAGATGTTAAACTCCTTGGTGAGAAAGGATGTGTCACGTTTATGCTGTGTATGATTAAAAGGAATTATTTGCCTCTAACACATCTTTTAATTCTTCTTCCAGGACTTCAGTGATTCTGGACCGCTGTTACTGAAATGATATTACAGGAGACAGCATTTGCATTGCGTTTGTTGGATGAAACCCAAATATTTACTTTCAGTCAAGTGGGTAAAATCCCCTAACTGTGGTTTACATGTGTAGGTCACTGCGTTACTGTGTTAGTCATTGTCTTCATGCAGCAATGACAAGGCTAGAAGAAGCAAACAGAGAAGTGAACATGCACTCATCAGTCAGATACCTTGGCTATCTTGCCAGAATCAACTTACTGGTTGCCATTTGCATGGGCCTTTACGTCAGATGGGAAAAAACGGCGGATGCACTGATTTTGGTAATATTTATTCTGGGGCTCTTTGTTCTTGGAATTGCCAGCATACTGTACTACTATTTTTCAATGGAAACAGCAAGTCTGAGTCTCTCCAATCTTTGGTTTGGTTTTTTGCTTGGCCTTCTCTGTTTTCTTAATAATTCTGCCTTCAAAACGGATGTGAAAGAAGAAGCTACTAAATATTTGCTCCTTTCTGCCATTGTTTTAAGGATACTATGTGCTTTGGTTGAGAGGATTTGTGGTTGTATTCATCATCGACCGACTCTGCTGACAACAGTTGAATTTTTGGAGCTAGTTGGATTTGCAATTGCCAGCACAACTATGCTGGTAGAAAAATCTATGAGTATTATTCTGTTGGTCATGGCTTTGGCTATGTTGATTATTGACTTACGTATGAAGTCTTTTTTGGCAATTCCAAATTTGGCAATTTTTGGAGCCATTGCATCCTTACTCTTTTTTCCATCACTGCAAATCCCCACAAACCCATTTGCCTTGGCATGTTTCTTCAGCTGCCTGATTTCAGATCCCCTTCTCGACGTTTACTTCAGTGGACTTTCAGTTACTGAACGATGGAAGCCCTACTTGTACCGTGGTAAAATTTGCAGAAGGCTTTCTGTCATCTCAGTTGGAGTCATTGAACTAATCTTTTTCATTCTTGCAGCCTTTAAACTACGTGATTTGGATCTCTGGTATTTTGTGATACCTGGTTTTTCTATTTTTGGAATTTTCTGGATGATTTGTCATGTGATTTTTTTTATAACTCTTTGGGGATTTCACACAAAACTAAATGACTGTCACAAGGTGTACTATACCCACCGTGCAGAAAACAACAGCCTTGACAGAGTTATGGCATCTAAAGGAATGCGTCACTTCTGTTTAATTTCGGAACAGCTAGTATTTTTCAGTCTCGTCGCGACTGCTGTTTTGGGAGCTGTTTCTTGGCAGGTAAATAATAATCTCTGTATCTTGATCTCCCTCCTGAGAATGCTCCTTAGAATTGTTGACTCCTTAAAATTTCTGTGACGTTTGATGGTGTGCTGTGGCTCAGCAATTCGATGTTGGAACACTTGGTTTCACCAGCATGCGCTTCGAATTTAACACTTTGTGCTGCCTTAAGGCAGCTGGAACTCACCAGCTTCCTTAGGTGGGCAGAATGGGAAGAGTTAGTGCTTCCAGGGCAAAGGTGTGCAAAGTATTTTAAGTTTACCTACTTGTGAAATTATTTTGCTTTTGAATTCATTGTGCCATAAAATTTGTTTTCAAAGTAAATCATAGTGTTGAACCCTAGTAATACGTGCTATATGGAGGGCTTTTCTTATGGACTGGTTTAATTGAATCAAGGTAAATTCCTGTTTTAAGAATGTATTTTTCAATAATTTTGCTTTGCATTTAACCATTAATGTGGAGTTAGAGATCAGCTGATAAACTGGTAAATTGTTGTTAAAGCATGTGCTTTAAGTGTCTTATTTTCAAATCTGGCTATGCACCACAGGACATGTCCTCTGAAAGACCAGTTCTTAAAATCACACAGCATTCTCTGACTTTTCTTTCCGTTTCTGAATTAAGGACGTTGTCTTTTCTTTAGCAGAAAGCATACATTTCTCTCAAAATGTTTGTTCAGTGCCCAAGTTAAAGTACATTGTGTGTTGTCACAGTTGCAGCAGGGTGGAAAGAGAGTTTGGTGTCTATTTTCTTTTTTAAGATGATCTAAAAAAAGACATCAATCATTTTGGTACCCGTGCATCTCTTAAATGAATTACATATATATATTATATGTATATAAAAATTATATTTTATTTATGGGAGATCCAGTTTACAGAAGTGTCTCTATAGTGTTTCCAAAACAATTTGCTGCCCATTCCTGCAGATTTTCTTAGGTTAAATAACCTCGTGGATGAAAGGTGTTAAAGAACTTGGTAGAAGAGGAAGCTGACAGTTATTTTGTAAGGTTTTGTGGGGGTTTTTTTGTTTGACTTGGTTTTGGTTTTGTATTTTTTTGGTTTGGTGGGGGTTTTTTTTGGTGTGTGGTTTTTTTTTTTGCATGAAGAGCATTAGAGGTTAACACACAAGCCTGGGTAGTTTTGCTCTTTCTTTGCAAAAGTATCGGCATGCATAGCTATAGTGTGTGGGCTTGCAGAAAGGACAAAAGGAAGAAATAGAACCAAAAAGAAGTAGAGAAGAAAAATCCCCAAAATGTATTTACAGAAAGTGAAGGTGCTAATGCACTGAAAGAAATGGGAAAGTGGTTTGGGAGACAGAAACAATAAAGATGGAATATCAGCATGCTAGTATTTCTAACTTCTATACTTCTGAGACTTGTGTGATTTTATCAAAATGCAGGTCTTTAATTTTTATATGCTAGATGCCTGTTTTTCAGTAAAAGCAATTTTTTACCATCTCTATCAGATAGTCTTACAAATTTCTCTGTCCTTGCCCTCCTCCTTTAACATCCTGAGACACGTTAGTTAATAATTACATAGTTTTAAAATTACTTGGATGGAGTCACTCCACCTAGTTAAACCTAACAAAGCAGTCAGAACAAATCAAGTGCGTAAGTTGTCCAGATAGTCACTGGAGAGAGGCAGTTTCTTTTGGTGGCGCCCAGAGCCTGTCAGCAGGGAGTTAACCACCAGACTTGGACAGGATCTCCCGCTGTAGCCCTTCAGGCGAAGGGCTCCCTCTCCCCATGTCATCTGTTCAAAGCACACAGGCGCTTCCTTTAGAACTGCTTCATTATTGCAAGCTGTCCGCGTAAGCAAGGAGGATTGGATCCATACTCATCTTGTTACTTTTTTCTCTTTACATTGATTGATAATTCATTGTAATTTTTTTCTGTCTCTGCCCTCTGCCCCAAAATAACTGCGACTGTTACATGTCTGATAATTTTCAGGCCTCTCTAATTCTGAAAAAGTGCAGTTGTACTGTGGAATGACTTGTGCGGGACCATTCACAAGAAGCAAACTGGCAATGTGTCTAAAATCTTAATATTTGTTATTGGCTAATTTCAGTTTGTAGCATCCTGTGTGTACGCTACATAAGATAAGCTGTTGCTCATCACCTCTGTCTGATAGGTTGCGTATTTGCCTATTCAGTGGGAAAAGAAGTAATTGTAGTGGCAAAAGTGAAAGGCATCAGACCAAATACTTCTGCTTGTCAGGAAATCAGTTTTTTTCTTATAATAGTTTATTTTTAGTAGATAATTACATTTACATTTCTTTTATTATATTTATATTTCTTTCATCATGTATTTATAGTAATGAATTAGCTTAAGATTATGAATGCAGTTGTATCCAACTAAAATAATTTCTACTTCAGAAGATGTTGTGATGTTTGCCTTGCAGATCACTGTGCCTATTCCATCTGTTGTTGGAAAATGAAATACTTTATCAGACCTGGCCAGAACATAATTTAATAAACGGATGTATCATTTATTATAGTGATTGCAGGAAACTGTGGCCTTTTCTGTATTTTTCTGGATAGTGTCAGGTTTCAAAATAATTAGAAGAAAGAAAGCAATGATGCATAAGCATACAATTTACCCTCTTGCAGGGCACTTGGTTTTTTCTAGAGGTTTAAGGAGACTAGTATTGTTTCTTCTTTGTATCCATGAACTGTGGGGAATTCAAGGCCTCAAGACTCTACTTTAGAATCCTTTGCTGGATTTTTGAGTCTGCTGTTTCAGGAGGTCTAACAAGCTCAACAGTAATGCAGAAAGCAAGCTTCTCCAGTGAATATGTACTTTCCTTATGGTGATTTATATGTATTGTAACAGTTAAAGAGACAAATCAGACTGTTAACACTCTCTGCCTTTCCTCTTTAAAAAGTAGTAGTTATTGCTTAATACTTAGTGGGTTGGGATTTCAGGGTTTTGCTTGGTTTTGTTTGGTTTTTAAGAAAACTTTGCTGCAGAAAAAAGCTAGTGACACCAGTATGTGGTAGAAAGAGATCTTAGGGCTGTGTTAGATGCCTTTCCATGAAAACATCAGCTTATTGTTTATTAGTGGTCAAAAAACCAAATTAAACATTGGGAATTATTAGGAAAGGACTGGAGGTATCATTATGCCACTGTATAAGTCCGTAGCTTCCATATTTTTAATAACAGTGCAATTCTTACTTGCCATCCTATAGGTAAGAAAACAAGCACAGGTTCAGAGAAGGGCAACGAAATTCGTTATAGACATGAAACAGTTTACATGGAGGGAATGAATAAACAAGGATGCTTCAGTCAGGAGAAGAGAAAAATAAGTGAGAATATGATGAACCATCTAAAATATTATGTGTGATGTGGGAGAAGGAAAACAGTAAGAGACAATAAACGATCAGTTCCAGTGCAAAAGTTGAGGGGAATCAAGTTACAAAAAGCAGGTTGGAGCCAGATAGATGGGAGTAGTTCCTCATACAGCGCTGAGTTAGCTCTGGGGCTGTGTATCGTGGCATGCTGCGTGTGCCGAGCGGTTGCAGAGGCTCAGGAGGAAGCTAGACAAGTTCATGGAAACAAATTCACTGAGGTTTATGTACTACGTGGAAACCATGTCTGGATCAGGAAGACCTTGAGCCACCAGCGGTTGGAGTACTCAGGAACCATATGTGCTTGGTCTGTCCTTACAGTCTTTCCTATGCATCCATTTGGCTTCTTTGGAGACAAGACATTCTTCTAGATGGACTTTTGGTGTAGCCTAATGCAGCCACTCTTACATTCTTATAATATGGATTTTTTTTTTTTAGTTAAATGTTCAAAGTAATTTTTCCTTATATCCTTAGGAATGCCACGTATTCCTCAGTCACCAGTTCCTGAAAATGTGTTTGCACTTTTTAAAATTGTTTAAAACATTTTTCACATATGTAAGATTAACAGTTTTCAGTCTTTGCAACTTGCAGTTTGGGATGTATGTTGTCATTTTAGTAAGTGCTAATTATATCTGAAATCTGTTAAGTGTCACCTAGAAGGTGAAGCATTTTTTATTTATACCTTTCCTCACTCTGAAGAGGTACTGAAAGCTTGCTTAATGATACTGCATTTGTTAAGAGAGGTAGCTTGAAATCGCTTCATGGTCTGCCATTTGACCTCCTATATAATGAATAGAATTGGCTAAAAATCTAAGTCTTGGAAAGGTACTTCCTAACAGTCAACTATAAATAATTGGCCCTAGCATATAAAAGGTCTAGCTCAGCTGTGTGTGTTAGGTTATAGCCAGAAATGAGGTGGTGGAGGGGAGGGGTTCTGTTTCATGGAAAACTTTGTTACAGGCACATTATATATGCCCTTTTAGTAACTGTAATATCTGTGCATCATATAAATCTCAAGTGTATGAAAGGTTAAGACCTAAAGAGACAGTTGTCTGTTAATTGGTGGCTAGAAGTATCCTATTTGATTAAAATTGCCAGAAAAATATCGAATCTCCTTTTGTGGAAAGGCTTTTAAAGTGACGTCGATTACCTCGCTGTTGCACACACACTGGTTTTCTGACGCATGCAGAACTATTGAGGCTGGAAGTCCTGTTAGCCGAGGACCTTTCTTTAAGGGGAGCTTAACCCTTGTAATAAGCCAAGGGTTGAAAGTCTCTGTTCCTGATGCTTTGGTATGTGCTTGGGAAGAACTGTGACTCCTGAAAGCAGAATTTCTCTCTGACATACCAAGCTTTAAATGTGAAGAGCAGAATTGTCAGGTCTGTCTGAAGCTGGAGGATGAGCTCAGGAAGCACAAGAAGTGGAAGCTTGTTAAAGCTGGTTGCATTCAAAAATGGAGTAACAGCTTTTCAGTGGGGCATGTTTCAGCTGGGAAATGGTCTGCTTCTGAGAATAATCCCTGCTTTAGCTGGAGAGGAAAGACACCTTGCCATGTCGGTAGAAACACATTGGCATTTTCCTTGCAAAATCTGCAGGAAGTGCTCTGCACCTGCCTTTACGTTTGTGTGAGTAATTTCAGTCAGTTCAATAGACTCTTC